GGAATAATGGAACTATTCACACTGGCAGACAGCAGAACACACACACACACACACACACACACACACACACAGTCCCTCTGCTTACTGTCAGAGCATCACAAAATAATATAACTCTCGCTGCTCTAAAATGCTTCAAATAAAACATGTTTATATATCTATCTATTCATTTGAAAATGTTGAATGGTAGTTAGATACTGATAATCAAAGCCTGTGACTTCTCTCCTGTTGTTGTAAAATCCCTTTAACTAACCAACAGAAGGCAATTCCTTAATGACATCACCATCATCATCATCATCATCTTCATCATCCAGCAGTGACATTATTTTGTAGAGAAAACAACAGCACAAACACTGCTGGATTTGATGAATTCTGGGATGTTTGAAATCAGTTTTAATGATATGAATATTTCAGGAGATGGTTAAAAAGTGAAGTGGCTTGTTATGAAGATCCTGTCATTGTGTAAATAACCGTGTTGTAGTTGTAAAGCTGACGTGTCTGAGTTTGAGCACAGCACATTTCTGATGACTGTCTGATTCCTAAATAAATACATAATATATTTATTTATTCCTACCTACATATTTTTGTATATTTTGACAACATACTTAAATATATTTTGCCCTCCATATATTCATCTCCAAGAAAATACATTTACATATTCACATTTGAAGAAAAAATTTTAACTTGTTGCGTGAACATAAAACACATTAGAATTTAACTTATTACAATATTACACTATTACAATATGTTATTATACATCTGTAGTAGGCTATTCCATTCATTTAGCCTAATGTAAGAACAGAAATGTATTTTCTTTCCCCTGAAATACATTTTGAAATATATGTACTTTCAGCCTTCAAAATATATTTCAAAATTCTGGCCAAAGTCTATTTAAAATATATGCTAAATATATGTTGCAAATTGAAATTAAAAGTAGTTATTTAAAAGTTCAAATTGAAATTGTTTAGTTTCAAACTTCATATACCAAAATATGTTTTTGAATTTCAATTTATAACATATATTTAGCATGTATTGAAAATATATCCTGGCCAGATTGTTGTAAACGTTTTGCCGTCTGGGACTGAATGGAGCTGCACTAACAAATGCTGCTTGTGAGTGTGACGCTGTACCTTCTGCATGATGTGTGAGAGGCTGGAGAGCAGAGACCTGGCGGCGGCGCTGCATTCACACTGCTGTGTGTTCGGAGGAACCGGAGAGCCCAGCGCAAGAGCCACAAATACACAGAACACAGCGCCTGCGTGACACACACACACACACACACACACACACAGTGTTCAGACGTATTGCAGTAAATCAGACAGTCACACTGTAACAGCTTTCAATAATGTCACAGACACACGTTAACCTTCAACAGCTCATATGCAATCAAATGTAAATTGGAAAACATCTCATGTCATATGAGTTCCATCATTATATCATGTAATAGATGTTGAGTTACTCACAGATCTTCATGATGAGTGTCGTCGCTCAGACTCACTCAGACTCGGTGTGTGTGTGTTTGCTGAAGTATGAGAGTGATGGGCTTTATACTCATGATGGGGGAATCCCTCAATCACTGTAAATCATCTGCTCACACACACAGTGTTTCTCTTTTGGTTTGTTGTGGCACTGAAACTGGAATAAACACACTGATGTGTGCATGCGCTCATCACAGTGACCTCAGCACAGCTCTGCATTACCTGCTCCGGTTTTCACTTCATTCAGACACAACCACAAATCACAACACTTTCAATACTTTCCATGAATAACTGGAACACACTGTGTAATGATCAGTAGTAGCAGAGTGTAAATATGAACTTGAATATTATTTTAAAGTATGGCCTTGTCACTCTCTTCCATCCACAGGAATCTGATTATATGAATATTTCCACTCAATCACACAATTATCTGACTCATTACAGCCCTCGTCTGATAAGCTCACAGATTTCCTTTTCGTTCCAACAACGTCGTGTACAGTCTCAAATAGAATATGATACACAAATTCATCTCGATCTGTATAGTTGACAAATTTCCAGCATGAAACATGATTCATTTTCGAAGCCATTTCTGGAAATGATTGTCACTGACATATATATATATTTGATGCCAGTTTTGGATGAAAAATGCAGATTTGAATTGTGAAGTGAAGATCAGCGCTTTGTGTTTAATCTCATTGTGTTTAATCGTACGCTCAACTTTATTCTGAAGCATAAATTATAATGCAAAACTACAGAAGCTTGTTTCCAACGATAATTGTGACTTTAAATCTTTCTTGAAATTTGGAATTTATAGCTCACGATTCTGTCTTTTCTTCTCAGAACTGTGAGGAAATAAAGTCCGATTTGTGAAATAAAACTAACAGTTACCTTTTATTTTTTTCTGTGGCAGAAAAGAGCTTCCATAGAAAACACAGAAGGGACTGAGCAAGGGATTCTAGATACAATTTCATATTTTCTCCACAAGAGACGATCCAGAAGACTACGGTCTATGAAACAAAGTTTTATTTTTCTTATTTTACACATATCTGTACAGAAGCATCTCCCTCAAATAAAGAATCTGAATACAATAGAATGAAAATGATATGAACACACTTATTCAGATGACTCGTGTCAGAATCAACATCCACGGAGCTACACGTCGACTACAAGGCAGGCATGTTTCCTCTCGAGCAGCTTCAAACCGTCGCTGACCGGCTGTGCTTAAATACTGTCCAACTCAAACATTCAACAGCCAGCTCACGAGGTGTTTCCACACCGCTCTATGTAATTGAGTGGCAAAGGTAAAGGACTGAGACGGGTGTACGAGGCGATCGCTGGCAGTTTCCAGGCCGTTCTGGAGGAACCACAGAAGCAAAGGAAAGGTGTCTGTCTAAACTGATCTGTGTGGAGAGCGTGCGGCTTCATTTGGAGAGCGTCTTCTCCGCCAGGTGCTTCTGCTGGCTCTGAGCGTGCCTGAGGACAAACACAACCCGATTACACTTTACTTCCAGAGACACTCTACTGACTACATGACATTTAGCAGTCGTTAGAGTACTAGTAGACTGTTGGGTTAGGGTTAGGGTTAGTAGAATACGTTGACAGGTACTTGCAAAGTTACTTATAATCAGTAGAACGTAGAAGTGTTAGTAAGCAGACAGACTACTAATACATTAATTGACATGAAGTTACTCATAGTTAGTAAAATAGCTTAAGTGAAGTGTTCCCAACATTTTTGTTACTTGTACTAAAATAAAATATATGTATATATTTATACATATATAAATGTATGTATACAAAGCAGAAAATGTAACTGAAATCTGTTTTAAACACTACACTCTCAGTGACACTCAAATAACACCATTGCAGAAACACATGTTATTGTTCAGCCACTTGCTGTAGTTTTCTGGAGGGGAATTTGTGCTTTACTGGAGTAATCTGAACACTTGTACTTTTACTCCATTGCTTTTTGTCAGAGAAATTCAGTGCGAGTGTTTCACACTTCTGTTGAGCGGATGATTGAGAGCATGAGCCGGGCACCTGGTCAAGTCCTCGATGTCCACCAGCATGGCGTCCTGCTCCATGTGAAGCTCGTCTCTCATCAGCAGCAGCTGCACCAGCTCCTCGTTCAGACCTGAGCATCACACACACACACACACGTCTCTGAGCTCTGCAGAACACACATGCGTGAGTGAGTGAGAGAGAGAGAGAGAGACAGGTGTGTGTGTCGTACCCTCGATCTGTGAGTGCAGGTCGTTGACGATGACCTGCAGCTGTCCCAGCGTCATGTCTCTGAGATCCGTGGGCTTCAGACTCCTCTTCATCAGACACTCGCTGATGTGTGGCATGTGAGACGCACACACAGAATCAGTACAAGCACATGAATCATGTCAGGGATATTATACAGTCTGAACCAATGATGAACACCCAGTGTACAGCTGAGATCTGAGAGTTGAAAGACTCAAGTCAAATGTTTTTGTATGGTGTTTTCTGAATGCATATGGTTTTACAGAGCTAGCTGTATTGCATTTCTAGTGTTGTCTAGCTCATAGTGCCGCAGTGACATTCTAGGCAGTTTAGAGCTTTAAATATCAGCTGTTCTGTTCTGTTTAGAGATGGTCAATAATGTTCAAAGTGAGAGTGTTTTAAAAAGCATTACTGAAAACATGGTTTGATGTCACGTGAACAGTCTGAAAAGCTGACGCTCATGAAACATGCTGGGAGGAAGTATTTCTCAGAAGGTATTGATGAAAATATGATCACAGGTGAATGTCTGACTGTTCGAAAGAAATGAAAGGATTTAGAAAATGCTAAACAATTCTCTGAAATCATAGATAAAATTCCAATCGCCTGTCTTATAAGTGAAAACTAGCCCCTCATCTGATGCGAGTTTAACATTTTCCAAATGTAATTCTCAGCTCGATCTGTTGATTTCAGTCAGTAGCGTGTCTGATTTCAGGCAGCATTACTAGAACATGATGCCATTCTTGACTGTGTTTGCATGTATCATACATTGGAAATGACTTCCAGTATATTGTGGTATTGATTTAGCTTGTATCACAGGATGCTACATAACACTTTCATCTCTTTAATCTATGTCATTAATCAGCAGTCAGTTGTACAGTTTTTCATCATTATGCTAATGACACCACTGACTAATCGCAGTTAGCTATTCCAGAGAACCGTGGGGTTATTATTTATCATAATTATGGGTTATGATGTTGAAGGCCGTTTGGACATGAGGAATAATGCATAAAAAGAAGCATTAACAGCAGATCTCGTAACAGAAACTGAAGCAGGTTTTTCACATTACAAATACATGGTAATTCTTCAGGTAAAGCACCCATCTGAAGTTCCCATGAGGACTCGCTTCATTCTGACACACTGCAGTTTTACTTTCACATCACTTGCTCTGGACTTGTTCCTATTGAAATGTTTTTCCCCATTTAAGGCAGATCTGAGTGCCGTAAGCTGATAATGAGCTGGCTTTCTCAAAGTGAAGTGAATGTTAGCTCTGTAGCCAATAAAGCGAGGAAGAAATCAGAGTAACCTTGATATTTCTGCGTAACTGTAATCGAGTCTGATTTATCCTGCTATAAAGTGAACTGCAGATGTGAAGAGTTGGTTTAAGATCATTAAAAGACAAAGAGGGCTTACAGTAGCTCGAAGCCAAAATCCCAGAATGTTTTGTTGAAATGTGCTTTGATATGAGATGCAGGCTGATGCAAGTTAGGTTTTAGAATCGATGTATTAGTCCAATAATAATAATACCAGTCTTACTCTCATATGCAGGAAACTGGTAGTCGACCATGATGTTATTTCTTTTAATTAATATTCAGTCATATTATCGATTGCCTGCACTGATATTATGAGATGAGAACTGATCTGAATAATGACACTATTACCTTCTATAGAGCTGCTTATAGCTGAAAGTGAATATGTTTCATAACTCATGAATTTTGCAACACTGTTCTATTTCTGTTTTTTCTATATCTGTATTGTATAAAGCACTATAGGAGTAAATGTGACTGGACTGAAAGTGGTTTAAGTGTGTACAGGTCTCCTAGATTCAATGGCAAGTAGATAAATGATAATGATAATGATATGAACGAATCAAAAGCTTGAACAGAGGTGTGTGTGGATGACTGGAGCTTCATTGTTTCACATGATAAAATCAGGTTTTCCTGCCGTCTCATTCCCACAGTATACTTCAGTTTTGACTCAAACACATCGTCTTTTAAAGTACTGTACACTCCATTTGATTGTGTGCATGATAGTTATGATTGATAAAAAATGTTGCATCAGCTTTCATTCACATCTACAAGCACTGAAAAACCCAGCACTGTAATTTGAGTCTGAGATGCGTCTGGTCACCGCAGTTCTAGTTGACGGGTGAGTGCAGTGTTTCAGGAGCGTTAAACGCACGAGCTGGTGTTACACAGCGAATACAGTCACTGAACTCACTGCATTCACTGTGTAACACGTCCCGTGCCATACTGTGGAAGTTTTCTCCTCTGCAAAGAGTGAGGCGTCCAGTGTCTGGCCTGTGAGGAGATGATCTAATCGTGGGGTGTCCCGCTGACACGAGCTGCGCAGAGAAACAGCATCACCAGTGCCACTTTAAGATCACCAATGTGTTTCGAAGGAATTTTCACAAGCAGATGTCAGTTTTGTTCTTACTAGCAGAGCATCCGCGTGTGCAGCATTGGCTGGAGGAGCAGCACAGAGCTGACGAGAGTGACGGGAGGGAATAAGCGTGTCATGGCACAGTTTCGCTGTCCGTCTCTCTGGGCTCTGAGTCGTGTGGTGGTTTACGCCGCATGCTCCGGGAGATTTCCCCGCGTGAGCCGTGTTTGCTCTCCATCGGCGTTACTCAGCGCGCGGCTGTCAAACGCTGGAGGAAGAGCGTTCAAGCATCTGCTTCCTGCTGTGTGTGTGTCATAGTTTCAGTTCAGATGGACACTGACTGCGGAGGCGTTCTCAACGCATGACGTGATGACGAGACATCACTGATTCTTGTGG